CTGTGGTCCCAGCTACTTGGGAGGCGGAGGCAGGAGACTCACTTGAGCCCAGGAGTTGGAGGTTGCTGTGAGCTGTGATGCCACGGCACTCTGCCCAGGGGGACAGCTTGAGGCTCTGTCTCACCAAAATAAATAAATAAATAAATAAATAAATATCAAAGGTGGCACCTGTGATTCAGTGGGGGGTAGGGCGCCAGCCCCATATATTGAGGGTGGTGGGTTCAAACCCGGCCCCAGCCAAACTGCAACAAAAAATAGCCGGACGTTGTGGCAGGTGCCTATAGTCCCAGCTGCTCTGGAGGCTGAGGCAAGAGAATCCCCTAAGCCCAGGAGTTGGAGGTTGCTATGAGCTGTGTAATACCACAGCACTCTACGGAGGGTGATAAAGTGAGACTCTGTCTCTACAAAAAAATAAATAATAAAAATAAATATTAAGACTGGATGTGGTAGCTCACACCTGTAATCCCAGCACTTTGGAAGGATGAGGCAGGAACATTGTTTGAGACCAGCCTGGGCAACATAATAAGACCCTGTCTCTACAAAACATTTTTAAAAACAGACAGGCATGGGGGCCTATATTCCCAGCTATTCAGGAGGCCGAAGGGGGAGGCATGCTTGAGTCCAGCAGTCCCCAACTACAGTAAGTTATAATCATACCACTGCATTCCAGCCTAGGAAACACAGCAAAACTTCATCTCTTGGGCAGCACCTATGGCTCAGTGGGTATGGCGCCGGCCCCTATATACCAAGGGTGACAGATTTGAACCTGGCCCTGGCCGAACTGCAACAAACTGCAACAAAAAATCACAGGGCATTGTGGCGGGCACCTGTAGTCCCAGCTACTTAGGAGGCTGGGGCAAGAGAATCGCCTAAGTCTAGGAGTTGGAGGTTGGTGTGAGCTGTGACGCCACAGCACTCTACCAGGGGTGATAAAGTAAGACTATTTCTCCAAAAAAAAAAACCCTCATCTCTTAAAAAATTATAAATAAACAGGCTGCTGCGGTAGCTCATGCCTATAATCCTAGCACTCTGGGAGGCCAAGGGGGATGGACTGTTTGAGCTCAGGAGTTTGAGACTAGCCCGAGTAATAGCAAGATCCCATTTCTAAATATAAAAAAAAATTAACTAGGCTTTGGGGCAGGTGCTTATAGTCCCAGGTACTAGGCATGCTGAGGCAAGAGGATCACTTGAGCCCAAGAGTTTGAGGTTGCTGTGAGCTATGACACTACAGCACTCTAGCCTGGGACAACAGAGTGAGATTCTGTCTCAAAAAAAAAAAGAGATTCGGTGCCTATTGCTCAGTGGCTAGGACGCCAGCCACATACACCAGAGCTGGCGGGTTAGAACCCAGCCCAGGCCTACCAAACAACAGTGACAACTACAACAACAACAAAAAATAAACTGGGCATGGCTCAGTGCCCATAGCACAGTGGTTATGGTGCCAGTCACATGCACCGAGGGTGGCAGGTTTGAACCCAGCCCAGGCCAGCTAAACAATAATGACAACTGCAACAAAAAATAGCTAGGCGTTGTGGCCGGCGCCTGTAGTCCCAGCTACTGGGGAGGCTGAGGCAAAAGAATCACCTAAACCCAAGAGTTGGAGGTTGCTGTGAGCTGTGACACTATGGTACTCTACCCAGGGTAACATAGTGAGACTCTATCTCAAAAAAATAATAAATACAATTTAAAAATACTAAATAAATAAACAAACGCCAATAAAGACTCAAACCATCCAATATAGCAAAATACAATTATTTCAACTATCTTTTAGAGATATATAAAACTGATTTCCTGGCTCAGCGCCTATAGCTCAGCAGCTAGGGTGCCAGCCACATATACCCTCTAGCAAATTTGAACCCAGCCTGGGCCTGCCAAACAAACCACAATGACAACTACAACAAAAAATAGCCGGGCGTTGTGGCAGACACCTGTAGTCCCAGCTACTCGGGAGGCTGAGGCAAGAGGATCACTTGAGTCCAACCAAGAGTCTGATGTTGCTGTGAGATATGACAATACCACAGCACTTTACCCACAGTGGCAGAGTGAGGCCCTGTCTCAAAAAAAAAAAAAAAATCATTCCCTTAAGTGGGTCTCCCTTTAGGATCTGTTTTAAAGCATATTTAGGAGAATTCCTCCTCTCCCTGCCCCAATGTTATTCCCTTAATTTGTTATCTGTAAACCATCTGAGTATCCTCATGTGTTCTAGTCACTGTTGGTAGGTGTTTTACTCATAAAGTAAATAAATGTTTTACAATTCACAAAGCATTTCCTTGATATAGCATAAATAAGATGGATATTTAGGGGTTGAAAAGTGGCTTCACTACACACGAGCAAGTTACTTAACCTCTCTGAGCTTCAGTTCCCCTATCTATAAAACAATAACAGTATCACAATCTATAGGGTTGCTATGAAGCATAAGTTGCTGTGTAATGTTCTTAAAACAGTACCTGGCACATGAGTGTACAGTAAATGTCCACTATTACTATTTTTACATTATTTTAGCATTTTCATTTTACAGCCAGGAAACCAAGTGAAGTGATTTGTTACAGAGCTAACAAATGGCAGCAGTACAAGCTGAACCTACATCTTCTGACCCCCAAATCCTATGCCCTTCCCATTGGACCATAGCTGCCTTCAGTCATTGTTGTCGCAACACAAAGGATTATCAACTGGTTTCCCTGCCTTACCCAAGGGTCCCTTTGAGTCTCCCTTATCTTTGGAATTACTTACCAAAGTAACTCTGAGCAGGTGACAATCTAAGCAATCAGGGTGGAACTCTTACTTGGGTGACATAATAGGACTATTTGCTCATAAGAAAGCTCTCTTCATTGAGTTTTCCAATTGTGTTGCCTGAATACTATTATTCTGATACACTACAATATACTATCTCTAAAAAGCTAAGAGTCTTAACTTCAATCCACACCAAGGGCCAATAAAAGACCAAACTTTGTTCAGGAAGTATAAGAGATCTAAAGTATCAACTATCACCTAATTTTAGAACTCTTACATAAAAGGGGTTTTTTTGAAACAGAGTCTTCTCTGTTGCCCAGGATGTAGGGTAGTGGTGCAGTCATAGCTCACTGCAGCCTCGCACTCCTAGGCTCAACTGATCCTCCTGCTTCAACCTTCCAAGTAGTTGGGACTATAGGTCTGTATCACCACACCTACTTTTTTTCTTTTTTTTTTTTTTGTAGAGACAGGGTCTCACTATGTTGCCCAAGCTGGTACTGAACTCCTGGGTTCAAGTGATCCTCCTGCCTCTGCCTCCCGAAGTGCTGGAATTACAGGTGTGAGCCACAGCACCTGGCCAAGAGTTATTTTTATTTCATGGACTCTCTTGATCTTTGTCCACATAAACACACTTTTTTATAACTTTAATCATGATGCAAATTAAACTTATTCAAGCCTTTTCATATATTTCTCACACAGATAATTTAATTCCCTGGTTATATTTATCATTTTTATAATAGCAATATGAAATTCTATTAGATTGGTGCCATTTTCCTATTAATAGATATTATAGTTTCTTCCAGGTTTCTCTGTCATGAAGTAGCTGTAAACATTTCGTACATGTTAACATTATTTTCTTCTATGGAATTATTCCCTTAACTCCTAGCTTAAAGAATATAAACTTTTTAAAGCTGGGTATGGTGACTCACACCTGTAATCCTAGCACTTTGGGAGGCTGAGATGGATAGATTGCCTGAGCTCAGGAGTTCAAGATAAGCCTAAGAGCAAGACCCCATCTCTA